CCCGGGGGGGGGACTCCCTAATATCAAAGGGCGGGGGTCCTCGGCGGAGATTGTGAAAATGACCCCTAAAAGGGACCTCTATTGTGAGATGATGGGCGTGGCAGTGCTGAAATTTCAACCCTAAAAGGGACCAATCAATAACAGGTCATTTTGTTTTGGTTTACCGATTTTATTTGTGTTTTTACACAATCATCGAACACCGTCTACTCGTATTGAGTTTATGACGACGTTGCCATTTTATGACTGCTTAGGGTCGGCGTATATCCTAAAAGGGACCACAAAACACAGTTGGTAGGAATTCTTGTCATGATCACCCTAAGCGGGACCAAAATACTGATTTCAAACCCTAAAAGGGACGCCGAGGAACCCCGCCCTTTGATATTAGGGAGTCTTCCCCCGGGAAATCACGCAGAGATTTTGGTGTTGTTTTTTCGTGTTTCGCTATTTCACTGATAAACGCACGACAATCCATTCTTTACTGCTTTTATGATATAGAACGTTAGCCGTATTCGCGAGCGTGCATTTACCGCCAAAATAAACCGCGCTCTTTGACCATTCAGAGCATTTGTATTAATACATTTATATTATACTTCAATGTAAATTTTCAAAAGTACATTGCAGTGTCAATTATCTGGAGTTGTAAACTAAAATCCTTCTTGGTAATTTAAAATATTTCTATTCCAATGATGTTGTTGTTGTCTTTATGCAGAAACCTATACAACAGATTTCGTATGAGTTGGAAACGGACGGTACTGTACTGTGACCGTAACCGTAGTGTAACCAAATTCTAGTGCCCCATTGGTTCACAAAAATTGTGCAGGCCAGGTCCGGTAACTGTGCGGTAACCGTGCGGTAACGGTGTCCCACTCGTACGAAATCCGCTCTAAGGAACTTGAAACGTGTAACGCCCGTACATTTCTTTAGTATCAAGCGTCGGAATATTCGAAAGTTCAAACTCATTAAAAATTTGAAAACAAACATTATGACCATATTTGGAAAATTCAGCCGTTGGACAAGAGATTTAAGGCCCGTTCTGGTTGGCTATAGGGTAAATTTCATTGTTCCAAATAAGGAAATGAGATGCAAATTAGATTTGAATATTCCAACGGTTGGCACGGCGCTACACATTTCAAGTCCCTTATAGGATTCTGCTTTATGTCTTAACAACTGAGCAACATTAACGGGGTGACGATGTGATTTAATATGATTTTATATTTTGTAGTTGTTTGAAGGCATTGAAGTCTGTGTCATCTGTGGTCCTTCGCCATCGCTGCAAGACATCGAATACAAAGTCAGTATCTTTACCTCCCATTTCATTTTCTTTCCTTTCTCCCAGCCCTTCTGTTCTTTCTCTCCTTTCCCATTTCTCTTCTAGCTTCCTTCTCCTATACCTCTCTCCCAGCAGTTCATTTTCACTCTGTTCACTTACAAGGCCATTGTCCACCAGCAATAACGTGGTTGGTTGCCGTGCTTTAGATTTTTCACATATTGAAAATGAGTGAGTCACTAATAATCATTCGCAATCTGTTTTTGTCCGTCGTTTTTAAGGTCCATTATAATATTCTCGATATATAATGCGCGCTCTGATTGGCTGACGACCGTGTTTATATCAGAGGACAGAGACACGGCTTACCGGCAAAATTTGTTTTTGCTCGAAAAAAGCAGAAAAAAAATTATAAGAGAATTATAAAACGGCTGCGTATATGTCTCTATCCTATACTGATATAAACACGATGGAAACTGAAAAACACTCGAGAAGCAATAGAAACCTTGGTTAAGCTTGGTTTTCTCGTGTTTTTCAACCCCACCGTGTTTATATCAGAGGACAGAGACACGCGCGCCGTTTTATGTTCATAAATATTACACTCCATTTATATAACATAAAGGGATAATGACGAGTTATCTTTTGCATACTTTCAAACATCAACAACAATTCTTTCCCAATTGAAATTCGTTTCATTCCTCCTTTCTCCCAACTCCCTCTGTCTAAGTTGTCTTTTGATAATAGTTTTTAGATCAATATTGGGCACCAGTCAYGGATACATTGAAAACATGCTTACGTTCACATCCACGAAACCTTCCACCCACAATAACCATCGACAGTAGTATTCTTGCGTAAGTACAACCTTCCTTGAAATTCCCTGGTTGTAGCCCTGGCGACACTTTGAAATCTCTAGAGAGCCATATAGAACTTGAAAAGCGGGAAAATGCAACAAACAAGAGAATATTCCTTGACGTTGATGCAATCTAGAATTGTTTGAATTTTTTGGTTAAAATGTGAAGTGGGTTATAAAACTCTTAATTTAAACATCAAACACAATCTTAATAACTGGAATTAAATTAAATGTGTATTCAAATATATTTTTAGGTTTATTCTTGTTAATACTGAAGAAAGAAAGTGCCTTACAAGTGTCTATCCCTCAGGGGTGACTACAGGATCAGACTCAGGTAAAAAACTGGGAGACAGAGCAAACGCAGGAAAACCATGAAATATAACCAAACTATATACTAACAAATAGCGGCTATTTAGAGGCAAGTTTTTAGAGGCATTTTTTTTCTGTATCAATGAACCAGAACACAATGAAGATGAATCCTCATGGGACCATTTTTCATTCATCTTTATTGCGTTCTGATTCATTGATAATGACAATTTGTCTCTAAATAGGCGCTATTTGTTAGTATTTGGTTTGATTTTATTTCATGGTTTTCCTCCGTTTGCTCTATGCTTTTGATTAACAAGGTAATATCATTTATTGCCAAATGAATTTAAAGTGATTATAGGCATCTTGAAACTGAATGTAGATAAGGAAATTCCTTGCATGCTCTCAAAGGATCACGGCATGCTTTCAAGTAAATTCATTGACATTTTTACTTGGGATGAAGGGGAAATTGTGCGGCAACCAAGAGCAGTAACAATAACCCAACAAGTTTTGTACAAGACGAATTGCGTTTAAGATGAATTTATATTTGTATAAATTAACTGACTCACTTTATTCCTATTTAAGTTCAAATAATGTAAACGATGTCTCACTCACTCACTCACTCACTCACTCATGCTCACTTACTTTCCTGTAAATGTATGTTCGTTAAAATGACTTTTATTGCAATTTACTGACAGGCAATTGTAATTCACCAGGACCATCTTTATCTCCAAGCAAACGTAAGTCTGCATTGACAGTGTTTTACAAGTCTGTTGTAGACACATTGTTCCCTGCTGTTCAAGATCCTACTGAAGATAAAGGTAGCTTGACTGGTTGTATATAGCTATTTCAAAAAA